AACGTTTCTAATTTTGGTATTATGTTATTGATGGTAAGGGTGATATTACTTCATTACTTGGAGGTAAACCTAAACATCTGGAAAAACAGACATGTTGGTTTTATGTCCTATGAGGAAAGCCTTAGCTGAGGAGGGGATCTAAAATTTTTAAGTTTCCTCTTGGAAATTGATGCAGAACTTAAAAGAAAAGCACACATAAAATATTGCAGCTGCAAAGGCTTAGCTATGAGCCTTGTGAAACGTTTCCATTTTTATGCCACTTCTTTGGTAAACTCAGAGAAATGGATATTTTATTCTTCAGTTGCTGGGACCCCATTCTAATTGAAAGTTCACTGAATCTTGTTGAAATCAACACAGAATCTGTCCTCTTGTAGGAGCATTCAACAGCGAACAGTAATTAAATTGATTCCAGCCCCAATGTTTGTGTTAGGGGGATTTTACTAACATGCTCAATTTCAATGAAGTCAGCTAGCAGTATAAGTAGATCTCTAAAAAAAACTTTTCCATTAACTCTACCAAAGAAGTTTGAGCAGGAATAGCTTCAATGCCAGTTACATACAGATTTTTCCTACTTACTTGAGATTCTAGAAAGCTAATCAAGACTCTGTCATTATCAAGCATTTTCTGGGCTTAAAATTGATCCTCCAGACTAGAAACTTTCTCTGCACTTAATGCCTGGAGATAGATTATTGGATTAGCTTCAAAGCCTTTAATTAGCAAAGAATGATTTTTAGTAAATTAGCCATCATTCCTTTCCTGCCTTTGGTGTTGTGGGTGGTAGGGATGTGGCTAATGATGGAGCTGAAGCATATTTCTTGACTCTAGTTGACTTGCTTAGAGCCAAATATTCAATTAAAATAAAAACTTTACAATGGAAATATCTTTAATTCCCCAGATTAATGAAATGTCCCCACAATGCAAGATTTCATGTAGGTTTAAGGAAAAAATTGGGAGAGGCTAGAGAGATAACTACTTGCACCACCATCACAAACTAAAAGTTCTTTCCTGAGGCATTCCTATCAAGTAGATTGATTGTATGTTTTGTCGAAGGCTTTCACGGCCGGCATACGAAGGCTGGTGTGGGTCTTCCGGGCTGTGTGGCCGTGTTCTGGAAGGCTTGTTTCCTAACGTTTCGCCAGCACCCGTGGACCGGGGACTCCTAGGGGGCGAAGCACCCAAAGAAACGGAGGGCCACAAAGGATGCAGCCCTTTTTGTCCTCCTCCCT